AAGGCAGGAAATGAAGCTGGGAGTCTTGAGGAGGGCTCAAATTTGTTAGTTTAACTGCTGTTGTCTTTTGTTGGTTTTGGTTTTTTTTCCCCTTCTCCTGACTCTTCCTTTTTGTTACAATTTAGTCTTTGCAGGATTTTCTTATTTCCAGATAGCATGAATTTTTGTTTTAGGATTTTCCTCTTTCCCAACCTTCAGTTCTGTTTTTCTGGCAAAACAGATGTGGCTTTGCATAAATTCAGATGAAAATGCAGCTACGTAATGCTTGGAAATAAAAGTACTCTGTCTAATTATAGTGTTGTCAGGTCTTCATTAGCACTGAGGACCCTGTTGTGGTACAAACCCTTTTACAGAACATGTATCAACCAAGGCATGGTTTTTAAGAGCAAAAAGTGGAGCACCAATTGCTTATATTTTTCTTCTTTCATTTATTTTATAAATAATTTTTTTACAGAGGAAGTAGAATCTACTTTGGCAAGGAAAGTGGATTAAAGTCTGCTCTCTTATATGTGACCCCTTGTATTTCCTTACATGGTCTTCCAATTTCCATACATGGAAAGAGAGATACCTACCCAAATTTTCACATAACATGCAAAGGGTGTGGAAAAAATGAGCCCTTGAGGGAAGATAGCTGTCATCTGGGCCTTGTGTAAGGTAATCAAAACCCATCTGGATAGAAAATACGCTTCTTTGAAAGTACAGCAGGTCCTTTGGATTGAATTAGTTTGAGGTTTTTCATAGAGAAACTTAAAAAAAAAGAAGTTATGTTCATAAATTGGATACTTTCTGTGTTTGCTAAAATCATTACCTCTGGAATGTGAAAATAGAACAAAAAAGAAAAGTAAGAAGATCTTTATTTAGGATAGCACAGTTTTCTGAAGAAGAACAGGGTGACATGCTGGAGATAAAAAGAGTAGAGATCAGTTAGTTTCTTCAAAGGCCACTATTAAATTTTCATAAAAGCATTTCTTCCTTGGTGTGGTTAGTCAGAACATTTATCTGAACAGCCAGGTTGCCTTTGGTCTATCTTCTGTATTTTTGGCATTCTTGGCTCCTAGATGAAATAGCCCTGTGGGTTAAATTGCCCTGTAGCTCTAATTAATATAGCTCCTCTTGTTTGGTGCAGGCATACTTGGTCTTATTTGCATGGTAAAAACAAGCTCCCCAATTCCCAGGCTGGCTTGACAGACACAGGATCTCAGCTACAGTTCCACAAACATACCCAGCCTGGTTCCTGGGGGTTTATCCCCCTCTTCCTTACTAGTAACCTTACTGGTAGTAGTCCTGTATTAACTCTCAACTGCAGGTCGGCATTGATAGAAAAACTTGGGAGCAAAATTTAGCCACAATATAGCACATAAAACCTTTTAATCTGGTGTTTGAAGAATTACCAAAATCAAGCTGTTGAATGACTTGTGGTTCTACTCCATTAACTTTAATGAGATTGAGTTGGCAAATCTGTTGCAGCAGCTTTTTAAGACAACAGTGTATTCAATATTATGTTTCCTTTAAATATATGCTGATGATGCTGATGTTAAATTAAAAAAAAAAAAAAGAAAATTAATATTTTATTGTATCAGTGCTCCCTTCCGCTGAAAAGGAAGGGAGGAATTGTGTTTGCAAATGGTCAGAGCCACATCCTGCGGAGATCTGCACAGCAAAGATGTGTGCTGCTTCATTATTTCATAGCAACAGGTGTGCTGGCTTAGCACTGAATAACTCTCTCATGCTCTCTCCCCTTCAATTATACCTCTTCCTGGAGCTGGCAGCTGCAGCAGAGATCAGCCTCCTCCCCTGCTGGACTGAGCCTGAGTAATTTGTTATTCCATGTGGCTGAGGTCTGCAACCTGACCAGAAGCTCGGCGCCTTACACAGGGGCAAGGGGAGCAAGAAGGGTGCACATCCCCCTTTATGGTTTGAACTCCTGGCAGCCTTCCATGCTCCAAAGGGCCCAGTCCCTGCTTGTGTCTTTACTCCTGAGCGAACAGTGCTCAAATTAACTCCTCTGTGGCTCCACTAGGAGCAGCCTCCCTGCAAAAAAATGGCCAGGAGCTGCAGAGAGATCAGGTTCTGGCAGTGAGTGACTTGGACTGGACTAATTGGAGCACTGCAATCTCCATCCTACCTGATGTGGCCTTTCAGGACTTTTCCTCCTCATTGAAGGTTTTGTGAGAGGATGTGAATTAGGGGCAGCACTTAATATAAATTCTGCAGTGATATTTTTGAGACTATTTGTTTTGTATCAATACCAGTTGTATTCTTTTTCCCCCCTTTTCCATGTGCATTATGAAGAAGTTGGCATTTAATCACTTGAGGTTGGTGGATTTGGACAAAAAGTGTGGGTTTGCATGAAGGACACCTGGGAAAAGGAGACTTGTTTTTATCTCAAGTCCTTCTAAATTTTGTCAGTGGTTCTGCCCAACAGGAGAAAACATGTATATATACCTTGGGAAAATCTGGCACTGCATTAATTTAATTACAGAAAACATACAGAAAATATCCTGTTCTCCTGCTATGTTAAAATGCTGTAAATAATTTGGCTTCCTCTGATGTCATGTGTGTCATTGTTTAATGTGAGGTAAGGGATGGGAAAGGTAGGTGATGTACTTTCTGCACAAATTAACTCCATAAAAGTTAATGGTTTGACCTTCATCCATAGGAAAGGAAGAGGTAGGAAAGCTGTGTTTTTAATGCTCAGAAAAGTACAGAAGAATCATAAAGACAGGAAAGGGAAAATACATTTTAGCACATGATCTCATTGTTAATTTTTTCACTGGTAATTTATTAGCCCAGCAAATGTTGACTATGACAATTAAATAGTACTTGACCTAGCTGCAGAAGGACTGCTTGATGTAACAGAACAAGCTTAATTCTCAGAAACTAATATTCAGAGAGCTTGGCTCTGACATATTGAGAATGAGGGATTTGTGATGTCCACCTGAATGCTGAGTAACTTTTTTTGAACAGCCTTTTCCAGTGGCATGTCAGAATGGTTGTGCTGAAGCAAGAAACAGTCTGCACAGCTGGGGGAGATGCAGCTTCTGCTGGGGTGTTTTGCAATAGAGAACTTCCACAGAATGACAGATGGATGTGTTTTGTTTCAGAAAACACCATAATTAGGAACTTTGCCTATGCCTTGTAAAGTGGAGTTGGATTTTTTGACATCTAAACAAATTACTTAAGGGTGACATCTGCCTCAAATATTTGAGTTATTTTGGAATCTCGGCGAAATTGCTCTAAGCAATTGAAAGATCAGATTAAATGCTTAAAACCTGCTTCTGCTTGGGCAGCGTAAATTTCAGTAGTGAGGGTTTGGGGTTTTTTCAGTGTATGTTCAATAAAGATTTCTGGGATCAGACTGCTCCTGCATTAATGCCACTAGCAGGCAAAAATGGGAGCTTAATTACTCTCCTAGGCATATGCAAAAAAAAAAAAATCTGAGCAAGGAAAACCTACTTTTTTTCTTTGTAGTTAATCTGTGACTATAGGAATAGAGAGTTAGTTTTTAGTGTGACATGCTTAGAAGGGATATAAATGAATGAACCTAGACCTCAGACCTGGTCTATGTGTTGTGTGGTTGTCCTGGTACTCTTGGACTCCAGGACACTAAAGTAACTGCCTGAGTGCTGCTTCTGTAATAGCAAAGAGAAAGAGCTGGAAAAATAAAGATGCCCCAGTGTCCTGGAAGAACCTGTTTTTCATGCGAAGAAAGTGTTGTTTGGTGCTTTTTTTTTTTTTTTTCAATTAGTTTATAATTCAGGCTTTTAATAAAGCAGCTGTCTCCAAAACACCTCTCTTAATCTGAATGATAGCTACGTCTGTGTAGGCTTGTTGACTACACATGCTCCTGTTCCTCTTCTGTGCATCCAGGTGTAGATACCAGAGCAAGAGTCTCAAGGAAAGGGGGTGGGGGGTGGTGGCCTTGGCTTGTTTTTCCTGGGTTTTGTTGAGTTTTTGGCACTCTTAAAGGCAGACTGTCGGGAGGAGAAGGGGGTGTTTCTTCCAGTCCTGCTCAGATTTGGAGCTGGGAAAAGGAGGTTCCAAAGGGGGAAGACGTGAAGAGGACTTGATTTATTATTTCTCTTCCACTACTTTGTGCATGGACCTCTTTCTCCCTGACTTGCCTCTCCTCTTCTATCCGTCACCCAAAAATTTCTGTGGAAAGAAGAGCTTTTAATCCTTCGGTTAGCTTGGATTTTGCTGTGAAGCATTCAAAGATAGAATCTGAGGAACTAGGAAAAGAATTGATTCTTTTATCTTAGTGTATCTGGTATCATGTTCATATTCCCAGTTTGAAAGAGACCTTTGTTTTGCAGTTGAGAAGGCTTCAGAAGTGTGGTGAGACTTGTAGTTTCTGCTGTTTCTCTGATCCCATAGTGGCACATAGTTGCAGCTCAATTGCTGCTCAGTTGGTTTCTTTGAACTACATAATTTTGTTTAAATTGCACATTTTGTAAACTGACTTGAAGAGTTAATAACTGTTTTAATAGAAACTTGTAAGAACATAGTTCAGGTTAAAAATAAAATTACAGCTGTTGGAACCAGACTGAGTTCAAGGCTTATTAGTATTGTCTTCAGAAAAAACAAAAAAAGTGTTCTTATGAGCAAGGGATTGGGTTACAGGCCATTAGGTGATTAGTCAGATGACAAGTGCAGCAGGAGGAACTGCATGTCAGCATTGTCAGACACTTCCCAGCATCTCTTTGAGCGAGTGAGCTTGAAACACATAACTGTGGTTTGTTCTTGGCTCTTCTTCACTGGCCCTCTGTGAAAACAAGTTCCCATCTGGCAAACCGGGGAGCTGCGGATTCGAGCCGTGCAGTAGCCGGATGTGAGGGAAAGAGTTCTTGCTTGGACATGTGCTTCTAGGTTTGACTACCTTGTTTCTGAGGCAGATGCAGATATGCCGGGGCAGGGGAAGAATGTGGGTTTTCTTCCCCTGTACACCTTCAGAACTGAGTCTCTTAACGCTTGGCTTTTCTCTCTTTCTCCCTTTCCAGTTCTTCCTCCGGTGCTGGTTCCGAGGCACAGCGAGTACAACCCCCAGCACAGCCTCTTGGCGCAGTTCCGCAACCTGGGGCAAAACGAGCCCCACATGCCGCACAACGCGACCTTCCCGGACTCTTTCCAGCAGCCCAGCAGTCACCCCTTCCCCCACTCGCCCAGCAGCAGCTACCCAAACTCACCTGGGAGCAGCAGTAGCACCTACCCGCATTCTCCGGCCAGCTCAGACCCAGGAAGCCCTTTCCAGATGCCAGGTACAGTCAGCTTCCCTTGAGAAGGGAGAAGGTGGTTGGACATCACTTCTGTCATGGATTTTTTGCTCAATAACACCAAATGATCACCAACACTTGTGTTCAATAGCAAGCTAAGAGATGGAAGGTAATAAAGAGTATAGAATCTCTTTGGTAATATTGAAGGAATTAGTACTGTGCCTCTTTCAAACCCACTTAAAACATTACAGAAAAACTCTTGTGAGGTGTGGGGAGGGATCCAAAATGTTTTGGGTACTAGTTCAGAAGTTTAGCCCACAAAGTGTAGTGTTCAATGCACCAGAGGTGTGACACTAGAGATCTCCTTGCATATGATCATGAGTTCAGCACAAGACTTTAGTTCTGCAGAAAATGGATATTTCTCAAGGTGATCGTGTTATTGCTTCTTGATACACAATTTCTTCTCATTGTGGTGTAATTCAAAGATGCTTCAACTGAAAAACAGGCCCTTGAAATAACTCTTGAAGCTGTTTTACTACCTACAGTTAGAGAAGAGCCTTCCTTTGTTGACTGCTGTTTGTAGAAAATTCCATGAAGCTGCCTTTTTTTGCACTTTACATGCAGCTGGATAAAAATACTGCAGAAGCAGTCTGTGGTGGATTTCTTGATCTAAATGCTGGGGGAAGGATGCAGTATAAATGCTTACTGATGTTGTTTGCCTGTTTCCTTCAGGGGCTAAGGGGATGGTATGTGTAAACAAACCAGTGGATTTGTGAAAATCTGTTTCCTATTGCATGAAATTAATATAGATAGATTTCTTCTCTTGCTCATTGTTGCAAATTTTTCTTTTGTGAGTGAAAACTACTGAATTTGCTGGAAGGAAGGAAAGAGTTTGTATTGGCTTTTCTAAAAGATGTGAGAATTTGCTGTGAAACCAGCTGTCTTTTTTTTTTTTTTTTAACATGATTGTTGTGGCTGGGGCTCTTCCAACAAAGATAAAGACCTAACAAGGTCTTCCAGAATGCTGGCTTGTGGAAGTTCACTTGATCTTTGAAGGTCTGTTCTGTCCACATGCCCTTAATGTTGGCAGCTGCAGTGAAGAAACTGAGTTAGAGGGAGGTCAGGATACTGATGTCCTTGATGCTTAGCCCTGGACAGTTGTCCATCTTGCATTAATGGGGAAAGAGGCTGACATCTGGAAAATACAAAAACAAAGGTCCAAAGCAGTTAGCCTTGAAAACTTTCTAGATACTGCTTAATTTGTTGCCCGTGGCCTGGGAATCTTTTGCATGACCAGCATCATGTTTGCACACACACAAGTATTTAAGGCTTAGTAAGACATGAGACTCAAAATCCAGTGCAGTTTGTTAAGCTTTTAATGCAACCCTTTTGCCATCTCTGTATTTCTCTGCTGCTTTCTCATCCCCATGAATGTGTTCAAGTAATGGAATTAGCCAGGCACCTGCCAGCATTAGATGTAAAGGTCTCAACAAAATACCTGCTGAACAATAAGTTAGTTAATAAATTTCACGAACATGCGTTTTCTTAAAAAAAATACATTAAAAAATCCAAAAAACACTACTACTCCACAAAAAAGCCCCAAACTTACAGAGTATTCTGTAAGTTTTGCCTTTTGTTGATGCTAATTTGGTTTTCAGAGTTTTGGAATCCCCTGTGATTATTTGCTGAGCTAGTTTACAATCCATACTCTCAGTAATGGAAATAAATGTGGGATGAGCAGCAGCAGAGACATCACAGTGGTAATCTAATCCCAGTTTTTGCAGCAAAAGCTTGCAGGGATCAGGCAAGGGTTTCTAGCTCTTGGATGTTCCTCTGTGCAATTGATCTGGAGGAGAGTGTCCTCTGGTGTATTGGGAAATGGTGACATTGGCAACTTCCTGCAGCTTGTAGGAGACCTTTTGGGAAGCTTTCCCAGGAGTGGAATAGGCAGCTGAAGGGCAGTCTTGGCTGGGACACTTCAAAGAGAGCTGACAGCCATGTGTTAATGAGCGTGGGCATTGTGCATGGGCTCCCATGCTGGTGATGCAGCCCTGAATGGGACAGGACAGAAACACTGACAGAGAAATTCCAGACCCACAAGGCCATTTTTGTAGGATTTGGGTTCCTGAACACTTTCTACTATTCCCAGTCTAGGGAAACAGAGCTAATGCTTTGCACTGACAATGATAAGGCCCTGGATTTAGCTGGGATGTTTAAATAATTTGCTGGTAGAATTGTGTTTGAAACAGAAAAGCTTCTGTTCACTTTTAACATACTCAGTATCTACTGCTGGCTGGGCCCTGAGACCTCTTTGTGCCCTGATGTTTGTATGGCACTTTCAGCCTGCAGAACTCTGGGTTGGAAACACAGCTGAGCTTTCTTTTATGTGGGGGTGAAGTGACTTGTTTTTATTAGAGTTGTGCTTAATATACACAGTAATTCTTTGCTTTCCTTATTCGAGGTCCATGATTGCTTTTTCAGATTTCTGGTGGGTGGAAGTTTATAGCTGAGTCAGACTGGAAGCATTTCCAGGCTCAAACTGTTTATGTGGATATGTAGATATGCTTTGAAGAGAGGAAAGGACTCATGTATCTATATACTCATGTTTTCTATATTTAGCTGATACTCCCCCGCCCACTTACCTGCCTCCAGAAGACCCGATGACACACGATACCTCCCAGCCCATGGATACCAACATGATGGCACCTGCAATTCCCCCTGACGTGCACAGAGGAGGTAAGAACACTTCCTTCATGTTTTCTGTTTCTCTCCTTAAGAGTAAAGAACCTCCAGAACATAGGAGCAATAACTGAGTTTTAATTTTGGATGGATGTTCATGAAAATTCTTTTCTGCGGAAAAGAAAAAAAAAAGTCCACATAATTTTTCTTCTGTTGTTGTAAGGGATAAGATAGTAAAGCTGCAGATTATTTATAAATGTAAATATTTATTTATGAGAGGAATCTATCCCATGACTCTTTAAAAATGTAAAATATATGGGGTTTATTTCTTTCTTTCTCCCAGCCAACTCAAAAGACAAAAATAATTTTATGTTTTCTATTGGGAACTTCCACTAATCTCTGAATAGAAAGAACTCCTCTGAGGCTGCAGAATACAGAATTATCTGCCTGTGGTGTGGTATTGCTGCAAACTTTAGAATTCTGTATGAAATAAAAGCCTATTGCTTCATGCACTGTGACACAGACATCTTTTTACACATTGCTTGTTAAAGCTGCAGCAGCGGCTGTGGCTGCTGAGTAAAGGATTCAGTGCATTCATCATCACATTGTGAGAAATGACCCCTTCAGAGAATACTTCAGCTTACACACTTGTGGCCCATGCCAAGAAAGAGCAGCAAGCTGGATGCTGTGCCAGAACGATTATCAAGATCACAAGGCTATGAACAATTGAACTGTTGTGTTTTGGAGTTTTCGGTGTTGGTGGGGGTTTTTGGGGTTTTGTGGTTGGTTTTTTTTTTTTTTTGGTTTTTTTTTTTTTTTTTTTTTTTTTTTTTTTTTTTTTTTTGGTTTTTTTTTTTTTTTTTTGGGGTTTTTTTGTACTTGTTTTGCTGCTAAGCTCGATGTCTGGTTTCAGGAAGTGTATCTGCCCTCAGCACAATTTGGATGGCTTTTTCTGTTAGCACATTTACTCTCTTCTTGGAATGAGTTTTGCGTGTGATAAACTCAGTTGGTAGCACTTCCACTTTTTGTTGACCACACAGATTACACTTTGAGTGTATGAGTAGTTTGCAGGAATTTTGGTCCAGAAATTTACTGCCCCAAAATACATTTCTCAAACTTTATGCCTAACTGCAGACCTCTGCATGTGTGTCCCTCTACCAAAATGCATACTATAGAATTCCTCTAATATGTGAGAGATTATAAATAAAAAAGAGTTTACAGTTTTCTTCTTCCTCTTTATCATTCAGCCATTTAAAAATAAAAATTGTCTATCGATATTTCCCCCTTCTAGTAGTTTAGTACAATTGATTTTCCTCTCTGTCCCTTCATTAAAAAGAAAAACTTTTAGGTGCCTTCACATGTTTATTATTCACATATGTATACTGTGATTGCATGACTTTAAAAAAATTGCTGCAGGTTGTAGAAGAAAAAATTTTACTGTGAACTTAGTGCACCATTTCTTGTTGCAAACTTCATAGAAGTGTGTTCTTCATGATGATTTATTACTCTTAAGAGATTTGATTTAACAAGCTGCATCCTGTCAATGAAGTTGGGTAATTTCCATTGTTGGCCCATACTGGGAATAGAGAGACTAAATGCACCTGCTCTGCATGACTTAAAGCAAATGTAAGGAAGTCAGTATGAAATCTGTATGAGAGAGATATGATTAATTCTGTAAGAATGGCCAGCTGGCAAGATTTCTTCCTGAGTTTGAGAACTGGGGCAAAGCTGCAGCTTTGATAATTGCTGGCATCTTTATGGGAATTAAAAATGTAGCAACCTCTTAATAATAAAGACTGTTTTTTCTTCATTTTTTTTCCCTTTTCAACAGTGATGTGAAGGGATAGAAACTGCCAGATTATCAGGAAAGATCAGCTTTTTTACCAATGTTTTTAAGCAAGTTATTAGCAATAAACGCTATGCTCAGAAGTTTTACCACAGTGATGTGGATGTGTTATCCTGCTCTTGATTATTTGCCACCTTTTATATTTACTGTGTACTGCTGGTTTGAGGGGGACTTTAGGTTTAGTGTTTTTGTAACAAAAACTCATAGTGGTGTGATCTGTGAACAGAGGAAAATATGAGCGCTAATCTTAGTTGATTGATATCAGTAAAATCTTGGAGCTGGGAGAAGGAAACCTCTGGCCAGAAAAAAAAAGTCTTCCCGTATTACCAGTCTGATTTTCATTTTAGCACTTTGCTCTGTAGTGAGATCTGCAAAGTTGGTGTTTCAGCAGCAAGTACAACTTTTCTAGTCTTAGTAGTGAAATACTGTCCTTCATTTAAAAGAAGGCACACATAAAGCAGCCACAACCCCTCTGTAGCCTCCTTTTAATTTGGGACTGTGCTTCATGCATGTTCTGCAGACAAATATCAATCCCTCTCAGGTTTTTTGAAGTCTGCTACTGTTCTCCCAAAAAACCCAGGAGAAAGATTTGGTCATGCTCTGAATGCTGAAAGATTGATCTGCTGACTATATTTAAGCTGCCTTGCTGTACTTCTTTGTAAAGTGAGGAATGGTCTATGATGCACTTGTGATGCTGTTTCTTCCAGTTGCTGTACAACTTTGCAGTAAGCAAACAGGTGACTTGTAGTTTGTTATTAAAATGAACTGAAGTAAAAATCTGTCTACGGAGTAGGAAAGAAAGCCAAGTTGTAGGGTTACAGCATTTCTCTGCTTTCTGGGCCTGTGCATGTTGTGAGAAAACGGGGCAAGGATATTAGGGCACTCCTTGGGACGTGCCCAGGAGCTTTCTATACTTTTCTGTTCATACCTAGTGCCAGCCTTCATCTCTCCTGAATCTTGAGTTGAAATTATTTTACTCTATGTAACCCAAATCTGCCAGGTTAGGACTCTTTTCTCCTCGAGCCTGTGTTCCAGCACTGTTAGGCTGTAAGGTTTCCATTGTGGCTTTCCAGATGTCCAGGCCGTTGCTTACGAAGAGCCGAAGCACTGGTGCTCCATTGTCTACTACGAGCTGAACAACCGCGTTGGGGAGGCGTTCCACGCGTCCTCCACCAGCATCCTGGTGGATGGCTTCACTGACCCCTCCAACAACAAGAACAGGTTCTGCCTGGGGCTGCTCTCCAACGTCAACCGCAACTCCACCATTGAGAACACGAGGCGGCACATTGGCAAAGGTGAGTTTGGGATCTGGCCGTCCATTTTGGGTGGGGGTGGTGTTTCCTGAGACATTGACAACCTGGGCCACTTCCCTCAAGAGTAAACTGCTCTTCCCTAGCATGTGGGAGAAGTGCTTGTGTTGGTAAACATGTAATTTTCTGGCCTAGTCTTATAAACAAAGTATTGTTCCTACCTAGTTTGTAATTACAGGAAGCTTTTACCCTTAATCAATTTTTAGTTGCCTGAAGGCTATCGAAATCTAAATTAGAGGTTAAGGCAGTTTGTCTAATGAAATGTCTTGATTTATCTTGATTATTGTTGTATATGGAAATCCAAATTGTGGTTCTTGGCACCAAATGTTTTAGCTAACCTTAGTTCTAACATAAATTAGCTATCCTAACATGTATTTTGGGAGATAACCTGCTAAAACAGTTTATTCCAAGTGCATTTTTCACAGGCTGGTGATCCTTTCAGAGGGAATTTTGTGCTTCCCTTCTGTGTCTGTGAAAGTCTCGCAAAAGAGAAAATCTTCACCTTTATGCCTGACTAATACAGTCCTCTTTTCTGAGAACTCACCTGTAATGCAAATGGCAGGCAAAGCTGATGTTGCCCCCTCCAGTGGGCCATTCCTGCAAGGCACATTTTTTAGGTATTTATATTTTTAGTAAACTGTAAAGTTTCTGAGACAGTTGAGGGTTCAGCATGCCCAAACAGTGGGGTAGATGTGCGAGTTCATGTAGAGGAGGAAAGAGCTGAAGCTGAAGAGAACTGTCAGATCCTCAAGTCTGAGCCCCCAGTCTGGAGAGCTTTTCTCTTCGTGAGAACTTGTGTAGCTCTCAGTAGTGCACCACACCTGTGTTGTGCTGCCACTCAAGTGTTAATACTTCTTCCTTCTTTTCCTCCCCATCCATCTTCCCAAGTATCAGGATATTTATTTAACACCTCATTCATTTTTCCTGTTAGGAGTAACCCAGCTGCAGGCAGAGTTCTGCTGAAGCACTTAACTGCATGTGTACCAAAGCAGAGCGTGGGAGAGACAAGGATGCAGTTTGAATAAGTAAATGTGTATGAGTAATGGTGATGTAGAACTGTTAGTCTTTGAGAAAGGAGGAGTAAATCCCAAACTTGAAGACATAGCCATAAATGTTTTTTGCAGATCATGTGGGAGTATGTATCTACCCACACAGTCAGTGGCAAAATCTTATGTGACAGAGCACAATCAAGGCTTTCTTACTGGACTGCAGTCGAGTTTTCTAATTCTCTGTGTTCACCCCTGTGATTTGTGACATTGTGGGAGGTGAAGGGTTTAAGTAGCAAATAAACCATTTTTAAACACAGAAGGTAAATTTTATTGCATTCTCAAAACCTTTAGAATTGACTCCTACTGACACAAAGTTCTCTGTTACTTTTTTTGTGGCCTTTCTGCTGTGGATGACAGGTGAAGGAGCAGGCACTAGTAGGGGAAAGGACTGTAAAATTGGTGTGTATTTGGCAGATAGGTTTGAGGAATACAAAGGCCTTTTTTTCCCCGCCTAACTTTCTGGAATTAAAGCTAGTTGACAAAACTCAGGCTACCCAAATTAGTATTCAGGACTTTTCCAGAGAATTGAGCTTGGGGCTGCTTCAGTATCTACAATTGATGCGGCAGGTTTCTGCTCTCTCTGCTTGCATTCCCAATTACTGCTTCACTTAAATGTAATGAGAAAAAGTTCAAGTGGTCAGGTTGTCCAATGGAAGGCATCAAAACTACTGTGCTTGATAGTTTGGTGTTGCTGAATATACAACATGTTGAATCTCCATACATACATATATACATACATACATACATACCCTTCTTTCAGATTGGCCTGCTGATGAAAGAGAAAAGCAAAAATGAAGACAGATGATACTCTGATATGTAATTAAGGTTTATCTCTTTGAACAGAAGCCTATCTCTGTGGAGACAGAGCATGAAAACAGACACAGAGTGTGAATTTACCAACCTTCTCCTCGCAGGTGTTCATCTCTACTACGTTGGAGGGGAGGTGTACGCTGAATGTTTGAGTGACAGCAGCATCTTTGTGCAAAGTCGGAACTGCAACTACCACCACGGGTTCCATCCCACCACGGTCTGCAAAATCCCCAGTGGCTGCAGTCTGAAGATTTTCAATAATCAAGAGTTTGCTCAGCTCCTGGCTCAGTCCGTGAACCATGGCTTTGAGACAGTGTATGAGCTTACTAAGATGTGCACTCTCCGCATGAGTTTTGTAAAGGTATGTGGATATTTGCTTGAGATTATTTTGTAAGCAAAGTAAATTATTTTTTCTTAATGCAGTGATTTTGAATGGTCCAGGAACTCCCTTCATCAACTTATTAATGGTTGTTGAATTTTAAGGATGGAATTGCTCATTAAGTCTAAGACAGATCTTAATGAAATGAAATATTTGTGGACAAAAAAACATCTTTCACATACTTTGAAAGCTTGAGGTGACTTACAGAAGATATTTCTTTACATAAGTCCTCTAAATCTTGACCAGCAACTCCCAGATTAGGAGCTGCAGTCATTATTTAGAATTATATGCATACCTTTCTATTCTAGGAAGGCACACAAGGTCAGGATTTGTGATGTGGCTGTTGTGTGAGTGCCAGCGTAGGTACTGATATGAAAGGGTTGGTCCTTAAATGAAAGTAATCAAATGAAGATGGTGATATGCTGCACTCCTCTCCATGATGGAAGGATGAAAACTTGTATTAAGACAGGGGTTCCTAAAATGGAATAGGCTGTTTACAGCTCTGCATCCTATGGAGTGTAGGGCAGTATTGCCTAAAGAGTCAAACAGGACGTCTTGTGTATTGGAAGTTGCACTGCACAGTGTCGTTCAGAGCTGCTGCCAGCTGTGCTGGGAGCTGGGAAATCCCTTCATTAGGGATTAATACAGAGTGGAGCAAACTGTGCCTGCAGATGTCATAGTCTTCTCTTCAGACCTGCCCCAAAACTAGTTCAATTACAAAACAATTTTGAATGCTTTTAAATATCTCTTTATATCTTCGGCAGTTACTGTAACAGAATCAGGTATGAGCTGAAACAAAATCTGTACTAAGTTGAGAAACAGTCTGATGGGGGATAACCATTCCCTCTTTCTCCAAGGAGGAATGCTTCTGACTTACTGCTCAGTTTATCACCCCCATCCTGAGAATGATATTTTAGTTCTTGTCAAACAGATACTTCACCCCCATTTCTACATCAATCTTGTCACCTCATCTTTTAATTTTTCGATCTGTTTGACAGCATTTCCACCCAATTTGTTCTGTTTTCAGTCTTGGCAGAGACTATTTGAATATCCCTCTCTTTAGAGGCTTTATAGGGACCTCAGGCAGCTGGCAATGATGTATGGGGAAATTTTGCAGTTACGTCTTTAAAGATTTCCATTCCAAGAGATCCGAAATGATACTTTTCCACATTTATAATTTTTTAGCTTCTGATTTGTTCATTGAAATGTGATAATAGTTGGTGGGTGCTGTGGGTGCTGTGCCACCCTGCTGATAATGAGTGTTGAAAGCTATTTTGGAAGAAGTATGCTTTTCAGGTATTTAGTATTATAATATGAGGTGATTTGTTTTTTCTTTCCCTGCTTATGATTCTATTTCCAGGGTTGGGGAGCTGAATATCATCGCCAGGATGTAACGAGCACTCCATGCTGGATAGAGATACATCTCCATGGTCCCCTTCAGTGGCTGGATAAAGTACTTACTCAGATGGGCTCTCCTCATAATCCTATTTCTTCAGTGTCTTAAAAGGTCCCAAGCTCCTGCATTTTGGAAACAGTTGAGCCTTGCATGTACTTGAAAGATGTATGAGTCAGACACACGTTTTTCCTTTTTTCACCCCCTCAGCTGGCAACAGCTGAAAAAGAGCCATGAAAACACTTGACTTCTGTGACCAACTGCTGGGTTCAGAAAACAAAGATAAATAAACCCCTTTAACATACTGTTGGTATAAAGAATTTTAGTTTACATTGTAATGTACTATTGTGGAGTTGATTTACAGGGCTTAGTACAAGAGGGACAACAGAGCCAAAGCCAAACTCAGCGTGCTGGACAGAGTTCCCGAAGGATTTTTCTGCAGCCGTCACTCTTAAGGTTCTCCTTCCTTACATTCAGCACTCACTGGTTTCCCCCAGGTCCTCTGGAGGGAAGAGTGGATGTTGGCCAAGTCTGCTTTTTGCAGCCTCTCTTCAGTACCTCTTAGAAACATTACACTGATGGTTGCTGTTCTCTTTCAAAGTAAAAGAAAGCATAACGTTTAATCTCAATAACTGTGTGCTATCTCTGAAACTGTGTCCTGACCGTACTGATGTAAGAATGTTAGGTATGTTCTTTCGCTAAATGTATGTATGGTGTATTTGAAAGTTTAGAAATTAATTAGATTTAGACCATAAAGGAACTAGGAATATTTGAATGGGGGGAGGTGGGAGTGGGAGGGGAAAATGACAGCTGAAATGTAGAATATATTGTAAACATAGTGTGTTAGTTTAAACTGAAGTCTGAATTTTGTTGTGCATTTTGTTTTCATAGTGGCTTCATCTTGTTAGTTCTGACTATTTTTGCCTCTTCCTTTTCACCCAAAGCAATTGTGCAACTTCTTTTACCCATGAAGAGGACAAAATTATTAATTTTTGCAGTTTGAAGGCTGTAGCTCTATGTATTTCAAGGCGAATTTGTACAGAGTGCTCTTTAACTATTGAGCAGTTTTATACAGTTTATGTAACAAAAGTAGGCTTTTAATTCTGTGAGATAATCTTGTTTTGCCAAACCAAGGAACTGTTAATTGCCTGGAGGACTTCAGTATCCCTGTGGGGGTCAATTTCAAACTCAAAAAGAATTTTTTTTTAAATTTTTTTTCCCCTGCTTGGTTTATTTTCTTCTCTTTGCTCTTTTATATTCATGTAAGCTGTAATACTTTCAAGTACTTTTATTCCAAAACTAGTGGGTCCTCTTTACTGGAAATTTTGAATAAAACCTGTTGTTACTGCTTACATTTGATTAAAACCTTGTCTTGTCCACTTCTTAGCAGACTCTTAACAAACCAGATAAAGGTGTGAACTTGGGGGAGGAACAACTAGAAATGAAGATGTGCTGAGCTTAAATGTAGTGATTAGTACAGGTCAGTAGCCCTGCTAAACGCAGGAGCAAGGGGAGGCTGAGCAGCAGAGCTCAGTGTGTGTTCAGCCAGACAGAGAAAGCATCTCTGTCTGTGTAATGAGTAATTGAGTAAATAGCCCTTTTTGGAGTATGAGTCAATGCCACCTTTTTCTCTTCTTTTTTCCCTCTTCTTCTTTTTTTTTTTTTTAATTTTTTTTGTGTGTGTGTGTGTTTTTGTTAAAGTTAATTCTACAACTTGGCTCAGTATATACATTTTTTAAATTAAAAACTAAAAATTCTCCCCTTGCTCAGGGAAAAAAAAAAATCCATAATGTATAAGTTCTCTATGGAGAAGAACCCAATACCTGATACTTTTACATTCCAAGAACAGTTTTTTTGGTTTCTTTTCAGATTCAGTTTAACATATCTTTTTCATAAAGAAGTGGTCATAGCAGAAATGTAAGTCTTAAAAATAAATAAAATTTAGAGATGATCAAAAAGTGGAAGAATGCTGTTTGCTACTCAGGCACTGTCTTTGTTTTTTTATATCTTCAGCCCCTGCTGCTTAAACTCCCAGCTGTTCTCAACAGTTTCATTGCTTTTTATGGAATGCAGCTGTGAGTTAGTGACTTCTTTTTTAATTAGTCCTGTAACCATCCATCATGCAAGTCTTAAGGAGTGTTTCTACTTGGATGTTTTCCTATTTGGATGATCCTGTGCAAGTTTTGATAAACTTTGAAAAAGTGTTGGAGTAAGAAAAGACAGTTTTATGTTGTGACTGCTTTGAATGTTGCTGTCTTTTATGTTTTGGGCTGTAATGCCTCTCTGTTTTTCCTAAATAGGGATTAAAATTAGAAAATAGTAGCTCTACAATGCATCAGAAGCTTTCAGTGGTAATCTGAATTAAGTGGGATGTGCAGGATCCCCGTTTTTCTGAGTTCCTTCTGTTGTCAATTTTTCTATAATACTGTTGAAGTGCTGGGTACATAATATTTTTGTTATCTGTTATCCAGTTTTTTGCTTGTGTTGTGGTGATATTAAGTGCAAAGAAAACGTGTACCTTCATATGATGGCACAGGGTATCTCAGCTGCATTTCATTACATAAGATGAGTGGAATGGAGTAGCACCTGAGACTCTCAGGTGGTTTTATCTGTGTTAATTTTTTTTCACAGTACTTGTATGGGGCTGTTTTAGATTTGGAGACAGTGCTGATAACACAGGGATGTTTTCCTTATTGCTGAGCAGGGCTTGCATAGATCCAAGGATTTTTCTGCCTCCCACCCCACCAGTGAAGAGACTGGGGATGCATAAGGAGCTGGGAGAGGACACAGCTGGGACAACCAACCCCAGATGACCCAACATATATCCTGTAACATATGGAGTCATGCTCAGCATGTAAAATGGGAAGAAGGAAGGAGGGGTGTTAGGAGTGATGGAGTTGTCTTCCCAAGTTACAGTTATGTGTGATGGTGCCCAGGTTTCCTGGAGATGGCTGAACACCTGCCTGCTCGTGGGAAGTAGTGAATGAATTCCTGGTTTTGCTTTGCTTGTGTGTGCAACTTTGGCTTTGCTTATTAAATTGACATTATCTCAGCCCACAAGTGTTCTTACTTTCACCCTTTCAATTTTCTTCTCCATCCCACCTGGGGTGAGTGAAGGAGCAGCCACTGAGTGGTGATTAGTTACCAGCTGAGGCCAAACCACAACAAACTAACAGCCAGAAACAGAAGACGTAGGACAGAGGTTACCTGGGAGGAAGCAACTGCTGGCTTCAGGAAGTTGTGAAAATTTTTGGAGCATTTAGAAGAAGTCTTCCTTCTGCTTTGCCCTGCTTTGGATAGTTGGAGTCAGAAAGCTTTTAAAGGCAAGACAAGAGTGAAAGGAAAAGAGTTTCTTGCTGACCTCTCACAAAACAGAGAATGCTGAGAACTAAAAATATGGACAGAGCCTACAGTGTCAGCTCTGTAACCAGGTAAGTTTCTGTTGCTTATTTGGTTTTATTTCCTCATAATTTCCTCCATTTAATCTTCTGAACAAGAGTTAAACACAAAAGACGCTACTTAAAAGCCAAGACAAGTCTCTGTTAGGAGAAACTGAAAAGACAGGGATATATTTATTAAGGAAAAGCAGTATATGTGGATACAAATAATTCCATGGAGTTGAATGTGTTTTGAAATCTCTGCTTTGGCTTTTAAGTGCTGGAAATCAAATAATTCTCCCTGAGTGGAGATGGTTTTTTAATAATTTAGGAGGATCTGGTGAATGCTTAAAAGATTTGTTGAAAGCTAAGAGAGGTAGTTATACATACCTTTATGGGTTTAGGAAGGTATGGAAAAAATAATTCATGTTGTATCATATCCTGTGTCATAATCATGGGCCTGATCTTTTAATGCTTGCTAACCTGGTATTGCTGTCTACTTTGTTAAAGCCATTTGCTGCTAAATCACTGCTCTTGCTACTGTAGCTATTGTCCTTTATTATCTTAAGACAACAATAGCTGTCTTTTTTAGCCTCTAAGCAATACAGGTGTGAGTATCACTGTTTGAAGACACCAGATCAGTGCAGAGGTGTCTGAAATTCATATGGACCTTCTTTGGTGTGCCAATCTCTTTGATTTTTCCTTTGTCTTGTCCCACTCTAAACCTTTGATGGACACCTTGGAAGTTAGCTGTGATTTGGTGCTCTCTTTAGGAACTGCTGCTGGTTTGTTCTGTGAAGCACACTGAAGCTTCTTAGTGTGCTCTTGAGATTTGTGATTCATGGCCATGAACTGGCAGTCACCTTTTTCTGGACACTTGCCTAAATATACAACATAACTCTACCATCACCAGCAGTGGTGGAGCAGTATATTTTTTACATGCATCATCTCACAGTTCATTTTCTTAAATACATTTGTGATTCTGTGCAGGAGGGAAGGGAAAATGGCTAATATTCTCCTCTGGCCCTCTCTGTCCTTGACTTAATTCAGTGAAGAAAGACACCCTTGCCATGTTTGTCCTTCAGGGGATGTTCTCTCGTCTTTGTTCCTTAAGCTCCCTTCACTGACTTCTATATTCTGGATGACTGTCCTTGTTTTTTTTGAATTCTGCATGCAAATTGCTTTTTGTCATCCCCAGGAGGTGCTGTCCCTGTGCCACTGTGGATCACGTGTCTGTGTGTCACCATATGCTGGGAGCTGCTGAGGCAGAGGGCTCTGGTTCCCCACTTTCGTTCAGTTTAATGGAAGTGTCTGACAGGTGGCTCCTGTTTCATTCACCCCACCTGCAGACCCTTCAGCGGGGAGGGCTGTGTCCCCTGGGGTGTGTGGTGAACTGTTTTTCATGAGGCAGGTGTGATGGAGAGGCAGCCTCCTGATCAAAGCCTCTTGCAAGCACAGAAGTGGCTCCGGTAAAACTGACAATGTAAGCATCCACTGGGCTTGATGTGGTTACAGAGCTGAGTGGGTCTATTGCAGGGAATAGACAAGATGGGTACAGTTTTTATGCAGGTCTGATGAATGCCTTGCAGTTAAAAGTGATCCTCAGTGTATGTTGTTAATTGATCTTGTGCGACCGAAGTAATCAAAAGTAATGTCAAACAAACCCCCAAATTTTACAAACAGTCCAAGAGTGTGGAATTTGATTAAATCATCTTTAAGGAATGTTAAGATTTTTTTGTTTTAATGTGTGTAGATTGTTCATTTTTTCTGAAGAATTGGCTTGTGGTTTCCCCTTTTAATCCTGCCGCTAAGGCATAAATTGAAAAATCTGCGTGTTCTCTTCATGATCCTGCCAGCTCATCTGAGACTCTAAATCTCTAAAGCTCAAAAGAATCTGGTGTAGTTTAATTTTGAAGAAGTAAGCATTGCCACTTGCCCCAGAGCTAAGCTATCTCATAGCAGTGATAAAAACTTGCCACTTGCAGTTGTGTTCTATAGTAAATAGAAAATGAGCTATAATTATATTACAGGCTTAATTTGTTCAAGGAGTTTGGTTTTTGTGGAGTGGTCACTTGCTTAGACGTGCTGGGAAGAGCACAGTTTGCCTTTTTAAAATAGATTCTGATTTTTCTGTTGCAGCTTTCCCCAGTGTCCCTGTAATGTGTAACAACATTCTTTTCTATAAAGAAAAATGGTGTGCATAACTTTGCCTTCCCCTTTCTCCTAATATAACTTTGAACTTCTTGGTCTGCTGTTCTTTTAGATTACTGAGCCTGAGCTTAGAACAA